GTCCTTCATCACCTTAAACGAAATTGGGTGAATACATCTCATATTACTGATTTACTGGTAGTCACGATAAAAATACTTAATTCGAAAAATACAGCAGATGACTTCAGATGACGTGCCTCCGACTAGGTCGCCCCGACAACACAATCAAGTTTCGGAACTAAGGTCCAACCTTTTCTGTCTATCTAAAGGAGACATTTTGATCTTCATATCTACGTTTAAACTACGTTTGACATGTTTACCAGAAAAGTGGCTAAATATGAGGAATTCAGGGCGAATTCTACATTCGAATGCAAGATTAGGCGACGAGGTCTTCGTGGCAGACACTTCCAACTACATATCTTGCTTTGACGCTTTGTCTTCTGCCAACTCCACGAGGAGTGAGGATGGTATTTGAGCGAGGTCTCAGACAGAAGTCGGGATGGAGTGAGCCCAGTTTTAAGGCAATCCGGCGTCGACAAATCTAGTTTTGCAACTCGGTCGTGTTTTCAGGGCGACCCAGTTGTACACATCTTGTCCGAAGTCATTTGGTACAGTAATTGTCCTAATTTCCAAACGTTTCTCCGGCTGTATCTTAGAATGTACCAAGTCCAAGGTCCAGAGGACTTCGAACAAATTGCATCCAACTAGGTCGCCCTGGCAACACGACCTAAAATGAGGTTACACCTTTTCTGTACATTCAAAGGAGGCGGCGGCCAAAATAGAGACCACACCATCTTGGTCTTCATGTATAAACCCAATTATATTTGTAATCTGTCCCATCTTCTAGAGCGTCTTCCCACATTTTCCCTTCATGCCTCCCCATCGCCTGGCAGCCAAAGTTGTGTCCACTCGGTCAGACGACGCCAGGGACTCGACTGGCCGCCCGGGCACTCTTTCGACGCCTCTTGCTGCTCCTCGAGATGATCGGAGCCCACTCCTTCACGGCACATGACACTTGTGCCCTGTTTCGGGCCTTCCGGTCGCCGGCTCTACTCGGCCGTAGTCGTAGCATTCTGCAGGTGACCAAATGTACATTTTGCATGGCCTGTTGTCATGACGTGCATTCTGTATCCTCTTTGTATGCGTTAGGCTGGAGGCAGCCTTGCTTCCTTCCTTGAGGAGGCGAGACTCGATTTACTCTATCTATCAAATATCTACTCACATCTTCTATAAGTAGTATATTTCTTGAATGGTTTCTATTTACTTGCTTGCCTCTTACTGGCTGCTAGTCACGACTACTTGTTCTTTTGGAATTATGCTTCATACTTGCTCAACCTCTTGTCCAATCTTCTTCAACAATACAGACTTCGCCCAGCTGAGGCCCATCAAAATAGAATTCCTCCTCTATTCCTACTATTGATTTTCATTTCCTCCGTCAAGGCCATAAACTGTCGTTTTTCCCTTTTATAATTAATTATTGAATATAACCTGTGCATGTCTAATGGAGTGAGTGAAGTTTGCGGCACTGCCTACTCCAGGAAGAGCAATGCGAGAATCATTTTTGGCAATGTTGAATGAAATGGGCACTTAAAAGTGTTGGAATATTCTCGCGACAACCTGCGCTTCATGTATTCTTTTTGAACTGCCTTAGTGCAGCGACGAGAAGTTGTGCCATAATCGGTTGCTATAGGCACGATAAGTGGAATAAGCTGGGCCTGTATGGGTTGAATTACCAACTACTTAGTGCCTCGTGTTCAGCAATTGCCCCTTCTTCTTCTTCTTCTTCTTCACTGCCGACTAGTCTGATCAGATTTATGTCTGTCTTCCACGGCGTCTGCCGTAACCGAGGCGTTGCCAGCTTTTATGCACAAATTTAATCTACCCTATCTTCAGCTGGTTTTGTATGCAAACAATTATTTACCTCCTTGCAGTTCGACTTTTATAAACGTTTAAGGCTACAGTGAAGATGTTAACAAGTTACAAATAAATCACTTCAGCCTAAGATTCTACTCTTGCATGCCTCGGTTAGATTGCAGAAAGCTTTATTTATAAATGAACGAAGTTTTTATGCCATATCTTGGTTGCAGGCAATAATAATATTGAGTACATTAGCTAAAATGCTTTTTATCTTTTATATTGGCTTTAAAGCGTCGTCTTTTGCCAAGATTGTAATGAAGATTCACCATTCTCCCTCCAATTTTGTCATGCTTGACGTTACGCCAAAGCTTCAGTTGCCGGCCTTGCTGTGCAGGCCCTCAAAGTCTGGCATTAGTGACGATTTTGGGGGAAGAGGGGGTTTGCTTTA